AGTGGAGGCAGGGCGAGATCACAGGACCACAGGATGGGGCGAAATTAAAATTGCTAATGAAGTTTCAGGCACGCATTGTCATTGATAACATCTTATCAGGAGACACGGTTTGAGAGCAGGCAACCTGTCTGACCAAAATTTATTAGGCTGGAATTTCCTCATCCTAATAAGCCTGGGAGCGCTACAGGAGACCAGGGCTTATTTCATTCCTTCTGCTTTGACCGTAAAAGGCGGCCACCTCAAGGGGGCCGTCTATAGACCTACCCTCAGGGCACATTCTCTTTCTCAGGGATGTTCCTTGCTGAGAAAAAGAATTCAGCAATATTTCTCCTATTTGCCTTTGAAACAAGAGAAATATGGCTCTGTTCCATCTGGCTCAAGGCAGTCAGAAGTCTTCTCTCTCTTGCTCCCTGAACATTGCTGTTATCCTGTTCTTTTTTCAAGATGCCCAGATTTCATATTGTTCAAACACACATGCTCTACAAACAATTTGTGCAGTTAACGCAGTCATCACAGGGTCCTGAGGTGACATACGTCCTCAGCTTAAGATGACAGGATTAAGAGATTAAAGTAAAGACAGGCATAGGAAATCACAAGGGTATTGACTGGGGAAGTGATAAGTGTTCATGAAATCTTCACAATTTATGTTCAGAGACTGCAGTAAAGACAGGTGTAAGAAATTATAAAAGTATTAATTTGGGGAACTAATAAAAGTCCATGAAATCTTCACAATTTATGTTCTTCTGCCGTGGCTTCAGCTGGTCCCTCTGTTCGGGGTCCCTGACTTCCCGCAACAAAGTCTTGTCTTGAATTGTATTCCCATAATTCCCATGTATTGTGGGAGAGACCCAGTGGGAGATAATTGAATCCTGGTGGTAGTTTCCTCCATATTTTTCTTGTAGTAGTGAATAAGTCTCACAAGACATGATGGTTTTATCAGGAGTTTCCACTTTTGCATCTTCCTAGTTTTTCTCTTGCCACCACCATGCAAGAAGTGTCTTTTGCTTCGGGCCATGATTCTGAGCCCTCCCTAGCCATGTGGAACTGTTCGTCCAATTAAACCTCTTTTTCTTCCCAGTCTCAGGTATGTCTTTATCAGCAGCATGAAAACAGACTAATACATCACCTAAGACCTGGAAGCCCCCGACACTTTGAGAAGTCCTGCCTTTGTGGGCTGAACCAACGTATACCTTCCATGTATTGATTTATGTCTTTGCCTATAGCTTCTGTCTCCCTAAAATATATAAAACCAAGCCGTAACCCAACCTTGGGCACATGTTCTCAGGGCCTCCTGAGGCTGTGTTATAGGCCATGGTCCTTAACCTTGGCAAAACTAATCGCTAAATTAATCTGACTGTCTCAGATACTTTTTGGTTTACTCTGTTAAATCTGCTCTCTTCCTGCCAGAGTCAGAACTCACTCACTCCCTTGAACATCATTAATCTTTCATGAAGGTGGATACCTCAAGACCCAAACTTCTCTCAACACAATCACATTGTCAGGGACAAGCCACATCCAAACCATAGCAGATAAGAAATTATATTCATGGGACTATTACTCTTCTATAACTTCTACAAGACAACTTGTTACAGTAGGTAGCTAGTAAAGCATGAGCAGGGCAGGACAGGGCTCCCCCAACCCACCAGGAATGTCAGGCAACCATCAGGTGATAGTCCAGCAGTTGTCATACTGCCTCTCTAAAATGATATTTGGCAAGTCCACTTGCCCAGTTCCTGAGATCTTATTAGAAGCTGCCGATTACCAATTTCATGTATTTTATCTATTGGCAAACTGCCTCTCCCTGGTGCTGGCTGTGACCAGAGCATGTGCATTAAGAGGCAAAATGGTGGAGTATGACCTTCCAGGGGCATTCCACTGGAAAGGGGAAGAAAGCCTCAGGTGAGCATGCGTACAACTCCAGTAAACACAGCATACATGCTCTCCTTCCAAACACAAGCAGGGTACCACACATGCTGGCAGCTCACCCTAAGGGAAGAATGAAAGGAAAGGGGTGCAAGATGCCTGAAGAAGGCCAGTATATAAAATCCTAGGTTCAACGTTAAACCAAGCACTTGACCTCCAAGATGCCCACTTGGGTCTCTTTCAAGTATACTTTCCTTTCTTTCCTGCTCCAAAACTTTTTAGTAAACCTCAACTCCTACTCTGAAACTTGCTTTGGTCTCTTTTTTCTGCCTATGTCTCTCTGTCAAATTCTTTCTTCTGAGGAGGCAAGAATTGAGGTGGCTGCAACCCATATGCATATGCTGCCAATAACTGGGATATTCACCACTGCTAACAAACTCTTAACATATGCTTAAAATTTTTCCCGATCAAAATTATTTTACCATGCTTGAGGTTTAGAACTTTAGGGATTCCACCAAACATGTGCTGAAACTGATCTAAAATTACTTCTGAAGAAAAGTCTGGCTTTGTCTACAGATGCCTTTTTATCCAGGCCACTTATTTTTTGTAATTTTGTAGTTAGATATCAACTCTTCCTCTGCTGAAGTGGATTCCAAAGCACTTAGAATCCTCCAGTGGGCAATATAAGACACCAGCATTTCACTCTCTCATTAGAGAATTGTCTCCTTTCTAGCTCCTAGCAAAAGCTAGGCTGGGAGCAATGACATTTAGAGAAGACTAAACAACAAGTAAGCTCCCATTTACCCCTCCAAAATCTCTAAATTCACATTCCTTCAGTGAAAATTTGGACACCTAATGGATAAATATTACAGTTCATATATTTATCACCTTACTTAGTTATCTTCACTGAGCCACAAGTTGATGTCATTCCCTCAGCTTTTGCTAAGAAACAACCATATTCATCAGTTATATGCGTGTGATGAGAATTTCAAGTGATTTTCATTCTCTTCCATGAGTAAAAGAAATTTTTTCTAATAAGAGAAGCAGTTTCCAGTCCAAATATATAAAGAATTTAGAACTAGTAACTCCCATCCTCACAAGAAAAAAATGCTGAACAAACTGAAAATTAACATTTTTTTAGATCTATCAGAAAATGGAGGTCACAGGGCAAGTTGCCACCTCAGTAAATGGAGAGATGGGGGAATACAGAGAATCATGGCTTACAGGTGCAGAAGCCACTACTGGAGCCAATACGATAGGAACACTTGTCAGAGGCTCAATGTGGACCTGCAGGCAAGGTAACCTCTCCCCACCAGGGGAGGGGCAATTGCAGTGGAGCCCCCACATATTCAAATTTTACCTCCAGAAGCTCCATCAAGTTCTCAAGGTTAAAATCAGAGAAAGTTCCCCTAATGTTTCTGGCAAGGGGAACGGGACAAGTCATCCTTTTGAAACAATCCCAGAGCATTCTGTTCTCAACAAAAGCCTGCCTTCAAGGGAAATTATTTTATCAGAGCCTAACCAACAAGGGTTTTACCAGAGTCTACCAGACTTGGGGAAGGGAAATGCCCAAATCCAGCCTGCTCTTCCTGTCTCACTTAAGGGGGAATGGGAAGACCTGAGAAGCACCTGTGAAGGTCCTAGCCCAGGGACACAGGCTCGCTAAGACTGAGACCTAATCTTAGGATCAAAGAATGCTTCTTCTCCCTCCAAATCCTACCACCACATCAATCAGGCACCTGTCTAGTAACAGGGGCTTATAGATAAAAGAAATGCAAGCCTCAGACTGTTTTTAGGAGTCTACAGAAATCCAAAGATGACAGTGCAGACGAAAACACAGGTATGAGAGGAAATTTTAGACTCCAACACTACAAGCACAGCAAACAATAAACCCAGCTTAAGTTCCAGCTAGATATATATGAAACCTCACACTGAAGGCCTTTTCATCTCAGTTCCTTTTACCTGATAGATCTTGTCTGGTTTTCAACAACAACAAAAAAAATGACAAGGCATGGTAAAGGGCAAAAAAAAAAAAAAAAAAAAAGGCAAACAAAAACATAGTCTGAAAAGATAAAGCAAGCATTAGAACCAGACTCAGATATGGCAGATAGCTGGGAATTATGAAAATTGAGATTTAAAATAACTATGATTAATATGCTTAGGGCTCTAATGGAAAAAGTAAACAACAGGGAAGAACAAATGGGTAATGTCAGCAGGGAGATGGAAGTTGAAAGAAAGAGGAAATTCTAGAAATAAAAACTATCATAACAGAAATAAAGAATGTTTTAATGGGCTCATTAGTGTACTGGACACAGGCAAGGAAAGAATCAGTGAACTTGAAGATATGTCAAAAGAAACTTCCCAAACTGAAAATTAAAAAAAAAAAAAGAAAAAAAGACAAAAAAATACCAGAACTACGGGAAAATTATAAAAGGTTTATAATACACACATAACAGAAATATCAGAAGGAAAAGACAGAAAGAGAGAAACAGAAAAAAATATCTGAAGTAATAATAGCTGAGAATTTTCCATAATTAGCAATTGACACCAAACCAAACAGATCCAGGAAACTCAGGGAACACCAAGCAGAATAAATATAAAAAAGTTTACACCTAGAAATATCATACCTGTGATGGCTAATTTTATATGTCAACTTGACTAGGCTAAGAGATGCTCAGATAACTGGTAAAACATTATTTATGGGTGTTCCTGTGAGGGTATTTTTGGAATAGATTAGTATTTGAATTCGCCCTCATCAACATAGGCAGGCACCCAATCCACTAAGGGCCTGAATAGAACAAAAAGGTTTTATTGGGCTGGGTGTCCATCTTCTCGTGCTCTCAGACATTGGAGCACCTGGTTCTCAGGCCTTCAGCCTCAGGTTGAATTATAACACCAGCTTTCCTGCCTCTCCAAATTGCAGACAGCACACTGTGAGACTCAGCCTCCATAATCATACGAGCCAATTCCCTTCTTCTTTCTTCTTCTTCTATATAGAGATACACTCCCCTTCTATATAGAGATACACACACATTTTCCAGCCTTTTCTCATACAGGTGTGACCATGTAACTGATCCCAACCAATGGAAAGTGATAAAAGAGACAAGCTTTACTGTAGGGGCAAGAAAAGGGTGTACCTTTTTCATTTTCTCTCCCCTTCACTCTGGCAGATGGAGTAAACCACAGGCCCGAGATGGTGGCAAAGCCACAAGACGGAAGGAACACGGATCCTAAATCACAGCATCAGGAGTCACCTGTGGACAGAAACACGCTGGACTATTACATCAGTGGAAATCACACTTCTGTTGTGTTTGTGCCTTTATGCATTTGGGGTCTGTTTATTACAGTAGCTATAATAGTATGACCCTAAGTGTTTTAATTCCCTTCCTCTTCTAGAGAAACCACTGAGTGTTCCTTAACTCTCTGAGGTGCTCTAACAACACACCTCCTCTCCAAGAACTTCTAAGTCCTTCCAAGGAACTCCCCAGAGCAGGATTTTCCTTACCATTTTATCAGGATGTACCGGGAATAACTTCTGGCTTTATTGGGTAATATTTTTGAAAAATGATAGGGTCTCACTATGTTGCTCAGGCTGGCCTCAAGCAATCTTCCTACAACTTCCTGAGCAGCGGGATTACAGATACAAGCCGGCATGCCTGGCTTCTTATGGGGTAATTTCTAGGGCTAGGGTTCATATCTTGCTCTTTCTCTGAAGTGCCAGAATCCCAGGGAAGAGAAAGATACAGTCAGCAGTGATGCTCCTTCCCCATTTGGTTCTCTCCTCCTTTCCTCCCCATCTAGGATCCCCTTGTCCACATACCTGAGGATATCTACCACAAAATGGTCAATTCTCCTTCTCCTGCTTCAGAGCAACTCCTTGAGGGCCAAGGTTGGGAGCCCTAAGGCCAAGGTTTCCTCTTGTCATCATCTCAATAAGCTACACCCTCAAAATTGCTCTATAAGAAGGCACCCCAGAACTCAGTAGCTTAAAACAACACTAATCTTTTCTAATGGTCACTGGTATTCATGTTAGCAAGGATAGCTCTGTAACACATGCCTCCTTCTAATGCCCAAGTTGGAGGGTCAGTGACTACTTAAGCATGCTTTTGTCATAGCAGAGATCAAAAGCTCCCAGAGGTGCAAGGAGAAACTTCTGAGGCCTCTTAGGACCTCTACTCAGGACTCACACACAGTCACTTCACCCCACATTCCATTAGCTGAAACTCACCATAGAAGCAGGCCAAGTGAAGGGGCACTGAAGTACATTCTGCACATGACACCACGGCAAAGGTGTGGCTTATAACACTACCACAGGGACACAAAGTACCAAGACTATTAATTCAATCGACAGCAGTTCCCGAGGAATAGAGGTATGTGGGCCAGTAGCTATGTTGACCTGGCCATGGGGCCTCTGCTGAAGGAAATCAGAAATGCGTATTCACCAGGGAACACTACAGTTAGAAATGAGTATTTTGTAAAATTTGAGGCTCTTTGGAACTCCTATGGTTTGTGTACTGTAATAATTCAACAGGAGGAAGGATGAGGTCAGACCAACAGCATCATTAAAGAACTATTATGTTGATTAAATGAATGTTCAGCTGATATTAGCCACCAACTAAGAGAAACCCATCCTACTGAATTACCAGAGTAATGCACTGTCTCAAAGACTGGCTTCAATCACTCCCCATTCAGACTCAGATAAAGTCTTATGGACAATGGGAGCAATAATAGAGCTGAGAGAATGTTAGGACAATGCATGGTTCAACTCTCTTTTTGCAGATGAAACACGAGCAGAAAGAAGCACAATGACTTAGAAAACCACTTAAACATATGTCTGCAGTGTATTGTGCCTAAGCCAGCACCTTGCTCCTAGGGTAAGTCTTGTTAGCAATTACGGACCCGTAAAAAGATGGATCCTCTGACAGTAATTTAGATCATAGGACTGTGGGTTCAAAGTCAAGAATTCGGGTGGGTCACTGTTAGTTTCTTCTTGGGGACACCTAATCCAAGCCCATGAGAACATCAGGGCTCTCAAAGACTAAAACTCTAACATAGTAGGGGTGTGTGTGTGTGTGTGTGTGTGTGTGTGTGTGTGTGGCTATCTCATAACTGTATTAATTTCTTTTCTAAGATGCTGGGGTGCCAGCAACATCCCTAGTACCCTTCTCGCTTCCAAATGCCCTCCTCAATTTCTATTTGAATCTACCATTTCCTCAGAAAAATTAAGAGGGCAATGTCAATCAATTCAAACTAAGATGTCACTCCTGTTCTACAAATACTTACTTTATACACAAAAATAATTGTTCATTAAAACAAAAAAATAAATTCTAGCCTCCCTCCCAATATTTGAACGATCTTTTCCACCCACTTCTATGGTCTTGGGCTGTCAGCCGTGATTGCACTTCAAAGATGTGTATGTCATGTCATGCTACATTTTATGTATTAAAAGCACAGTGCACAGTGACCTCTCCCATGACAGAGAGAAGTAAAACTCACATATAAGTAGTAGTGGTCATGAAAAATTGGAAAGACAGGTCTTTTCCAACAGATACTCAGGTCTCAGGGACAATCTAAAGAGTTTGACGGACTCTTTTCTTTACCAAAGTTTTATCAGGCTTAAGCCCTCTTCTTCAGAAGGCCTCTACCCTGGTCCCCTGACCACTCACCGCCTCCCCCAACCCCCCTCCGCCCCCCCCACCCCGCCCCACGCCGAACCTGTGGCCTGCCCAGCTCTATTTTAGCAAGAATCCTGCTAAGTCAGGTTAGAGAGAAATCACCACCCTTGATATCTGATCACCATGGATATCTGATCAAATTTCTCCTTCCCCCACACTTGATATCTGATCGCCCTAGCCTACCTTCAGCAAGAATCCCTCTAGGCGCTTGATGTCTCGTCTCAGTAATTTTCCATCTACTGACCCCTTCATTCTGCTCCTTGGCTATACATCCCCAGCATTCCGTGTCAGACCTCATCTCTCCCTAGAGTGATCATCTTTACACCTATAGCAATAACCCTGTATAAAGTCTTCCTTACTGTTTTAACAAGAGTCAGAATAATTTTTTCTTCAACAAGTTCTCAACAAAAACCCAAACCCAGAATCATTTTCTGGAATGAAAAGGGCTTCAGGGCTTCTTGGGTCACTTTTGTTGTATTGTCCACAGGGCTGAGAGTAAACAACTCCTTTGGACGTTTTGGAGAAGAAAGGTCCTTCTATACAACTACTTCGTCCAAGGGATTACACGCTTGGGATTCAACCAACAGCTACAAAAATCAGGAAGTTCCTTCTCCATGTATATGACGAAGTTCTGGACAGAAGCCTGCTGCCAGAATACGAATATTCTTCCTCAAAGACCCCTCCTCATGCCCCTACACTCTCTTGCCAGTCTAGTCTTTCATTCCCTGAAATACAGCGAGAGCGCCTGGAGAGCTCGTCCAAGCAAGTGCAACCCGCTGGTGACTGCAAATGGGCACATGGAACTGTGCGCCCACGCTACGCTCAGTTACAATCAATCCGGGCTCTTCCTGCCTCGTCCACGCCGAGGTCACACGCAGCACTGAAAGCGGCCTGCAGCGGGTGGGGCAGGAGAAGGCCGAGGGCACGGCTGCCCAGGCCCGCGAGGGACTGCCCGCGCGGCGCGCGGACCGGCCGGAAGCCGCGCCGAGAGGAGGGCCCCGGAGCTCGCGCGGACGCCGTCCCCCGGCGCCGCCGAGGCCTGCTGACATCAGCCGCGCTCCTCCCCTCGCCTCCCAACACCCTCAGCTCCGGGCCGGACCCTCCCTCCTCCCACCACGTGTCCTCCCCGCTCCCTCCCGAGGGGCCGCGCGCACGGGAGGACGGAGAGGCGGAAAGGATGGCGCTGTGACAGCCGGGCCGGAGCCCTCGCGTCCCCACCCCGCGCCCTGGCCGCTGGGCCCGGCGGTGAGTGCGCGCGGGCGGGGGCGGCGGCGGCGCGGCCCCTCCCCCGGGTCCCGGGCGGCTGGGCCGCGGCGGGGGCGGGGGCGCCGAGGCTGCGCTGCCGCCGTCGCCTTTGTTGCGGGCCCGCCGGGGGAGGCGGGCGGCGCCGGCTCTCGCCGCCCGGCAGGTGCGCTGGGGCCGGGAGGGTGCCCGGCGGGGAGGCGGGCCGGGCGGAGGGGGCGGCGGAAGCGCTCCCGGCGCGGGGCCGCGGAGAAAGGGAAATGGGGCAAGATGGCTGGAGAAATCCGAACGCGCCCGGGGGCGCGGCGGCGGTGGCGCAGGCGGGGCAGGGCGGGCGGCGGCTCTGGTTGCGGCACCTTAGCGCTGGGCGGCGGCCCCTCCCACCTCTGCCCCGGAGCCGGCCGGGAGACCGCGGCCAAGTTCGGGTCCCAGCTGCAGGCATCTGAAGCCTAGACCCATCCATTGCGCGTTCGCCCATCTTTTTTGGAAATATCGAAGGAACCGACTTTGAACTCCGGAGGGATCTTTTCTTTGGAGGTCCCCCGATGCAGCCCTGAAGATGCACCCGCACTCCACACCTAGGAATTGCCCGCGCCCGTAGAGGGCAGGAGCGCGGCCCTTTGTACTGGCCAAGAGTCAGCGAATAGGGAATTTGCAGCCCAGAGGCAATGGGGCATTTCCCTGTCGGGGTGGGCCACAGCCGATTTCTGCACCTTTTTGGGTATCCAGGCATACCCCTCAGTATGTTTCACTGACTCCTGGGTTTGCAAAGTCCCTTAAGGTAGAATGACCCTATTTTCTGAACCAGCTCGTGGACAGAACCTTTGAATTTGGAAAATCCAGGCGATGGGCCTACTGAGCCAACCGCTCCGCCCATGCTTAACTGGCTTCTAGCACCCATTCCAGTTGAGTAAGTGTCCAATCTGTGTCCAGACACCTTCACTGATAGGAAATCAGCACCCTTCCCCTGCCTCTGATTCCTGTTTGGGTGGCACTGGCTGCGAGAGAGTATTGCCTTTCTCACTGCTTAAAACCTTTTCCAGGAATATTTACCCACTGGCCAGCCTCAGTTCTGCCCTCCGGTCTCTACAAACCAGTCTGGGTTCTCTTCCCCAGATAGCTTTTTAAATATTTGAAGGCAGCCAGATGCGTTATCTACCCATAGCCTCTCTTATCACAATTAAACATGTCACCCTGTAGCTTCCTGGCCGACTCTGTTTCCTTACTTCCCTCCAGAGGGAACAGTGCTTGGGGCTAAAGAGGTTTGTATGTGGCTTAGCGTCCCCCATCATAGGCTTTGGGGAGGTCACAGTGACACCTGGTTTTTCTGAACCTGAATCTTGCTTGCAGAGATGGAGTCCACAGCGTACCCTCTCAATTTGACCCTGAAAGAAGAGGAAGAGGAAGAAGAGATTCGGAGCCGGGAACTGGAGGACGGCCCGGCAGACATGCAGAAAGTACGAATCTGCTCTGAGGGCGGATGGGTAAGTAAGAAGGTGTGGAGTCCACACAGCCAGCAGAAGCAGGCCTGAGAGCCCAGCTTGCTTTAAGTCTCCTCCTCAGACAGACGTGGGAAGTAAAAATAGCCCAGCCCGGTGTGTTTGCATTCCTGAGAAAACAGCTCTGTGGCTTTAAAAGGCAGTGCAAAGCATGGAGGAGGTGGTTATGGAAACAGTCCCTCAGCCATGTAGCTTGTCATCGTTTGATTGGAAGTCCTAGAAGCCAAGACCTTGTCTCTCTCGTTCACCCACTTTTCCTGCACTGTGTTTGATGCCAGGCACATTGTAGGCACCAAGTAAATGTTGGTTGACTTACTGCTGGTTGAAGGGAACCATTTTAAATAAGACCCAAGTCATTGGGTTGACATGAGAGGTTAGGCTAGTTGATTCTGTGTGAGCACCTCTTACCACAGTTCACACAGGAGAGCTGCCTGTCCAGCTGACCTGGATAGAAATGGTGGGCAGCAGGGAATACAGAGATTCAGGGTATACACACAGGATAGTATGATAGAGGTCAGTTTATACAAATGCAAATGCAGTAGATATTTATAGTTACAGACAGTTATTCACAGTAGTTACTGGACTTCGTGGTAATTAGGCATGAATAGTAAACATTTTAAATAAGCAACAAATTGACATTCCTTTTCTCTGCTTATTTTCCATTGTGTATAAACATTGTCAGTATACATAATATCCTTTGCTTCCATGAAGACCCCCTATCCAAGCATGGTACTTCTAAATTGTTCCCTACCACATGAGGGAACTGGGATGCAGAAAGATTATTTGCCTTGCCCTAAGGATACACATGAACACTGACATTTGTTCTTCAAAACAGGTTTCCTGAGCTGCAACCTTAAAAGTAATGCATTTTACCATATGTATGCTATACCTTAATTTAAAAAAAAAAAAAAAAAAAGCAGTGCAAACACAGGCTCTCTGTTTGCCAGTCTAGCTGTGGACGCTGCGCTGCCTTTGTCTCATCAGTGTTCTTTGCCCAACACATCCTTCTTCCCAATTCTGATCCAAGCGGGCGTCAGGTCCATGTAGCCTGGAACAAGACCTCAAGGCAGTTGAAACTCAGGGCTTTGAGGCTCAATTGGTCAACCCAGAACATCTAAATGGAGCGCCTTGGAGAACAGGTGCAACAAAAGTGAATGTGTTGGGACAGTGAGGAATGAGCAAGATGAAGACCAACCATGCTTGGGTGGGGAAAGAAGGAAGTAACTAGAGGGGCTGGAGGAGGGACTCCAGCAGCTAGCTGGTGGTGCTGGGGATTGGGCATTTGTGGCCTCCAGGCAATTGGCCATCCATCCACAGTTACCAAGCACAGTGTTGGGCATAAAGAGGGTCTTTTTTCCTGATGTAATTTCCAGTCTTGTGAGCAAGACAGGGAAGTAAACATAAGTAATAGTAAGCACAGTCTGCAGAGTGCAGTGGTGGAAGGCTGCAAGGATGCATCAGGAGCCAAGAGGGGGCATGCCTCATTCAGGCTGAGAACTCCAGGGCTTCCTGGACAAGGCCTAATCTTGAGCAGTGAGCAATTTTGCCCCCACCCCTGGACATTTGGCAACATCTGGAAACACTACCCCCTTTCCCCACCCCTGGATATTTGGCAATATCTGGAAACACTTTTCGTTGTCTGACTTGATAGGGGTGCACTGGGGACTGGGAGATCCTCCTGGCATCTAGTGGATAGAAGGGGTGCTGCTAGACATCTACAGTGCACAGGATGCCCCCCCACCTGCCACCCACACACACACACACACAATAAAGAAGTAACAGGCCCAAAACGTCAGTTGTGCTGAGGTTGAGAAACCCTGCTCTAGAGCATTAAATTAGAAGAAAAGAGTCTGTTTTAAAAATACGTATTTTGGTTATAGAGAATTATGTTAGGGTGATCAGTGAAAGCTTTTCAAGCATAAGAACTATGGTAATATATTAGGATAAAATTCCATAGACTTGAAATAGAAATACAATTTTAAGTAGGAAAAATAAAAAATGTACTTTGAACTGAGTCTTAGTCATGATGGAATCAGCCAAGGGAAAGGGAAGGGGGTTGCACTCCAGGCAAGAGGACAGCACAGGCAAAAGCACTGGGGAGAGGAGCTTGTGTGCAGTTAGTTAGGAGCAGCTCCTGCAGCTGGAACCTGAAACTTATGGCAGGGAGAGGAAGGGGATCAGACATAGGAGGCGAGGCCAGGCCAGGGGCCAGAGCCAGCCAGGAGGACATGGAGTGCTACGCTGGTGAGTTTGAGCTTTCTCCTTAGCTCTGTGGAATGAGGCCTTAGCCCATCTTTCTAAGGGAGGCCTCAGGCTCTCTACAGCCACCATGCTAAGGCCTGTGTGGCCTGCTAAGAAAGCAAAGCTTTGGCATCAGACTTTCTAGCTCTGTAACCTTGAACAAGTTACTTAAACACTCTGTTGTTTTATGGGTAACGTAAAAGTGAGGTAGTGATCCCCATGTCCCTAGTTCAGAGGATTCAGTGAGAGAATATATTTATGTGATTGAGTGTCCTGTACAGTGCTTGGCACATAGCAGGCACTCCAAGAGTGGATCAGTACAAACTCACTCCCCTGAGATCCCTGCATCTTTGCTGGGTGGCTGCAAGGCTTTAGTGAGGCTGTGCAAGGTGTAAGCA